ATTAGTGCAACTGATCAAAGCAGGAAGCGAGGGATGGTTCTTCCTTTCACACCCCTTTCTATCACCTTCGATGAAATCAGATATGCAGTGGAAATGCCACAGGTACAAGAACTGACTTCGAATGGAATGGCTTTTTTCTATAATAGAGCATTAGAATTAGTCATCCTTCATGTTCATAGCATAATAATATAGTAGCATATGGAAATTATGTTAACTATTTTCGGTCAAAACAAACTTGAAAAAGTGAGAGTCATTTGTAGTCTCCATCCTAATATATTAGTAAGGCAATAGATCAGATTTTCATTCCCTTTATGCTTGCAGGAAATGAAGAACCAAGGCATTCTTGAAGATAGACTTGAACTTTTGAAGGGTGTTAATGGAGCTTTTAGACCAGGAGTTCTAACAGCCCTAATGGGTATAAGTGGGGCAGGTAAAACAACTCTAATGGATGTGTTGTCTGGAAGAAAAACAGCAGGATATATTCAAGGGCAAATCACAATATCCGGGTACCCTAAAAAGCAAGAAACTTTTGCTCGCATAGCAGGATACTGCGAACAAACTGATATCCACTCCCCCCATGTTACAGTCTCTGAGTCATTGGTTTATTCTGCATGGCTCCGGTTACCCCCTGAGGTTGATTCTACCACCAGACAGGTACTTTGTAAACTATGATACATAGTATATTAACAAACATTGGAGAATCCAATCACTGGTTGAAAGGAGGAAATCTTGAATATTTGATTTGATTGGTTATGCCTAATATGAATACCGTGCTCTTGCTCATGTTAGGATTTCTTAGTACACAGGGGCACGCGTACACACATAACACATGACATTAGACCTTCTTTGAAGTGTCCACTGTCATCTCAGTTGCTTACAACTCCTATTGATTGATTGATTGCAGATGTTCATTGAGGAAGTGATGGAGCTGGTAGAGTTGACTTCATTAAGAGAAGCCTTGGTGGGTTTGCCTGGAGTGAATGGCTTGTCCACGGAGCAGCGCAAGAGGTTGACAATTGCAGTTGAACTTGTTGCCAATCCATCTATTATATTCATGGACGAACCTACCTCTGGCCTTGATGCTAGAGCTGCTGCTATAGTAATGAGAACAGTGAGGAATACAGTGGATACAGGTCGAACTGTGGTATGCACAATTCACCAGCCTAGCATTGATATATTTGATGCTTTTGATGAGGTCAGTGACCCTTTTCCTTTTTGTGACTTGCTGAAAAAAAAATCAGTGCCTGAAGGCTGAATATCTGTGTTGTAATATTACAGTTACTCCTCTTGAAGCGTGGAGGTGAGGAAATATATGTGGGGCCTTTAGGTCGGCATTGTTCTCATTTGATCAATTACTTTGAGGTATGCACCATCTCTATTTCGTAATTACTAGCATTTAGTTAGTACTTGTAAATATTTTTATATTTGCAATAAGTTTGTTCATCAAAGTAAGCCATGCTTCTTGTAGGGAATTAATGGAGTGACAAAAATTAAGAACGGTTATAATCCTGCCACCTGGATGTTGGAGATTACTTCAGACGCACAAGAAGAAGCTCTTGGAGTTAACTTTGCTGAACTATACAAGAATTCCGACCTATACAGGTAGGAACAACTTGAAATTTAAAGTAAAACCCTTATTATATCATTAGAAATGCATAATGGAAAACTTCATTCAGATGTTTAGAAGAAAACACTGCTTTATAAGCATTTGTTACTGTTAATATGCTTTTGTATGGTTAATCAATATTGAACAATTACATTCAGGAGAAACAAGGCCTTGATCGGGGAACTTAATACCCCACTAGCTGGTTCTAAAGACTTGTACTTCCCCACAAAGTACTCACAGTCTTTCTTTACCCAATGTATGGCTTGCCTTTGGAAACAAAACCTATCTTACTGGAGAAATCCCCCATATAGTGCAGTGAGACTTCTATTCACAACAATCATAGCCATCTTGTTTGGGACAATATTTTGGGATATTGGCTCCAAAAGGTAAGAGAATACAACCAATGTCCCTAATTTATTTTGCCTCGTCATTGTTTTGTATTGCCTTTATTCACATATTATTCTGATGCAGGCAAAGAAAACAAGATCTATTCAATGCAATGGGATCCATGTATGCTGCAGTCCTCTTCATTGGAGTACAAAATGCCACATCTGTGCAACCAGTTGTAGCCATTGAGAGAACAGTCTTCTATAGAGAAAGAGCTGCAGGAATGTACTCAGCTTTACCCTATGCATTTGGACAGGTATGCAACAAATTTCTCATGCAATGACTAAAGAACATTATCAGTATTACTATTAACAATCAATTAACCTTTTCTTTTAATTATTGAACACTAATTATGAAGTTGAAAGAAAGCAAAACTTGTTTCTTTGTGAGGAAGTTTTAGCCAACTCACACGACATTTGATATGTTCAGGTTGCTATTGAGATCCCATACATACTCATACAGACCCTTGTGTATGGAGTTATAGTGTATGCCATGATTGGTTTTGATTGGACAATCAGCAAGTTCTTTTGGTATCTATTCTTCATGTTCTTCACCTTTTTATACTTCACCTTCTATGGAATGATGGCTGTGGGTCTCACCCCAGATCACAATGTTGCTGCTATAGTTTCCTTTGGGTTCTACATGATATGGAACCTTTTCTCAGGATTTGTCATCCCCCGAACGGTAAGTTTATGTGTCCCTTTAGCCACATTTCTACACTAGACCATGTACATAGTAAGTTAAAGTTAGTAACTCACAAATGCTATTATGATCATGATATGTCACAGAGAATGCCAGTGTGGTGGAGATGGTACTTGTGGATTTGTCCTGTTTCTTGGACCTTATATGGATTGGTTACTTCACAATTTGGTGATATAAAAGAACGTATAGAGACTGGAGAGACTGTGGAAGAGTTTGTTAGGAGTTATTTTGGATATAGAGATGATTTTATAGGTGTAGCTGCAGTTGTTGTTGTTGGCTTTTCACTCCTCTTTGGATTTACCTTTGCCTTCTCAATTAAGGCATTCAATTTCCAAAAGAGATGAGCATTGTTATTTTATACAACTTGTAAATGAATGATCATATGTTCCAGAATTTTGTTGAACTTCAAGGGATATAAATATAGAAACTTAGATACAACCCTCCTTTGTTGTGCAAGTTTGGTTGTAGTCATTTTTCTGAAAGCACTTTCATTTTATTCCCTCCAATTACATTACATGTGTATATTTTAGTCTGTCTCAAAATATCTCCCGTTCCCATCTAAATAAATTCACATTGCATTCTATTTTTGTGTTTTTTAATTAGAGTATTTTTGTTAAAGAAGTTATTTTATCACTATAACTTATGTAAATAATATATTTTTTTAAGAAGTATACGATATTTTAAAGGATAAATAATATAAAATGAATAGGATAATTATTTCTCCTTGCCCATTGTGTCACTTTCTCTCTTGGATTCTTTGTCAAAGAACACTTTTTTTTAACTTTTTATCCTAAAATTTTAATTCATATCTTTACTTCCACAACACCCGCTTCATTGTATTTTCTTGATTGGGAATCTCAATGATTGGCCCATTTGAATGTGCTTGTGAAAAGAGAGCAAGAGCCAAAGAAGACTAAGTCAACTAAGAGATAAATGGAAAACCAACAAAAGCAAAGAAAATTATTTAGGGGACCATTTTGATCGAATTGATTCCATTTTAATGAATCTGATCGATAATAACCGTACATACAATAAAGTGTCATTTATTAGGAAAAAAAAAAGTACTTACTTAACAACGTTACGTCACACTCACTATTTATTTTGACAGTAAAAGTGACGTCAAGTGTTAATTGAGTCAAAATTAAATATAGGTTAATAACTGATGAAAAACAATCAATTGAAAAACTATTAATGTCCTTGCCTTTTTTTTTTTCTTAGAAACTATCCTGAATTAAATTTCAAATTTAAAATAATTACAAAGCTGTAACTATTTCACTAAATATATTTAAAACAAACTTTCCAGTATATTCAGAAATATAAAAATATATATTCAAAAGAGCACAATCCACACAATCAGAGTGTTACAAGCTTTAGATTATGTTGGAACCCGAAAGTTTTAGCAAGAAAGATATGTAATTGAAAAAAGAAAAACTAGTTTATTCAGAAAGGAAATGGGAAAAATAAAAAATAAAAAAATTGTTTGAAGTCAATTTATTTTTATAATAAAAAATAAGAAATAGTCTCCCTTAATTTGACATATAGCATTTAATTTTAGTGCAATCAACTAATTAAAATACATTGTGAATATAATTTTTATATTACTCTTACTAATATGTCAATCCATGATTGAATGCCAATCATATTTATATTAGCAGTGTATTTAAATTAAATTTATAAATATATCATAATTTTGACATATTAAAGTTTAACAGTAAATATATCTTTAGTTATCCTTTTAAAAACAAGATTTCTTTAATACATTTTTAAAATAACATATATATCTCACCTTCATCTTTTCGTATTTCATTCTCATTTTAGTAGTATCCAAAGAAACTATGAAATTGTGTAGAAATTTTGAAGATAACATCAGTGATAAAGATGTGGGCAAATATAAATATATAGTTTAACTGGTTTGAGAATTGCTTGCACAAACACTTTAATTTAAAGACGAAACAGAATTGTTCAAATACATGACAAATTATTAGAAATATCTATGATTACTAAATTAAAATGGCTCTTTAAAATAATTTAGTATCTTAAATTACACTACTTTACAAATCGGTCTTAGCTTCAATTTCTCATTATTTTTACTAGAATGTGACTTCCAAACATCATCCTCCACAGTAACCCAAGCTACCAAGTAGGAAAACATGCATGATGCACTTGCATCTCCACTGAGATCCCCGCATGATAAAAAAAAAAAACATCAAGCAACCAAGTAAAACAGCAGGGGAGTGCCCTCATGGCTCTTAGTCAGAACTGAGAAGCAAACAAGCCCTGAAGCTATGTATTGTTGGTTTTGCTTATGCAAAAAGGGAAATATGAATGAAGCAGTAGCAGTAATTCTAAATTGCTAACAATCCAATGACTAAATTAAATGTCGACTAGATGCCGCATATGTTACATTCGAAGTTTTCTCTCAGCCTACACCTACAATTACAAATGAATCTTAATTCTCAAAAAGAAAACTTAACAAGAACGAACCAAAAGGAGTTTGTCAACTCAATTACCCAAGCTGTCTAGGAAGCTTTGCAACTCCTTCAAATCCTCAGCAGAGAAGCTCCTGTGCACTCTAGAGCGTGGAGCCACCAAGTTAGGTGGAGGCTGCTGGTGGAAGCAAACCACAACAGCAGCCAAATTGTCTCCACTTTTTCTCTTCAAAGCCTCATCAACCAGATCCTTACTACACAAGGCTGGGTCGTTATGCTCCTGAAGCCTACGCCGAGCAAAATCCACTGCATTTTGGCTCCTAAATACATCCCAAATCCCGTCACAACCTATGATGAGAAATTCGTCCTCAGCGGTCAGTTTTGTGGTCATGAGTTCAGGTTCTGCAGTCAGGGGTCCACCATCTTTGCTTTTCATTCCTTCCATGTGCCAGTCACCAAGAGCACGAGCAACATTAAGCTGTCCATTAAGATATCCATCGTATACATACCCCCCAGATGCCTCGATACGCTTCTGCTCTTTTTTGCACCCCGGTTTGTGATCCCTCGACATTTCTATTGCCTTTCCACGGCGGCACAGCACTGCTCGACAATCTCCAGCATTTGCCACCACCAGCAACCTGAAATCAGAAACTAAAATCAATATGCAACTTCCCAAAGGTATGCAGTTGATGTCAGGTAAGTCTTTTATTTTGGAAAAGGAGAAACATAAAAATAGAATTATGGGCCAATTCCCGTGGTAGGCAAAATGCTCCTGGACCTCAATTCAATTATTTCTGGCCTTTATGGACTAAATCTCAAAAACAGTGGAAACTTCCTCAAAGAAAAATAAACAGCATACTTTTGGCAATATTTGAAAAAATGGTGTATAGTGTGGTTGTCAAACTCACTTATATTCACAGGAAAGAAAATTATATTAAATTGCATGCAAACTCATTTTTAGATGAATTCAGGTAAACTCGTGAGTTTACACCCAATTCCACCAGTTTAGCAAAGCATAAGGAGAATCTCTTCTCACCATAACGACACCGTTTGGAATTACGGCATCACTTTTCTTCTCTCTCCGCAAGTTGTGAAATATCACATTCAGAAATAGGGCACCAGAATCATATTGTCAACGTATGATTTGACTATCTACATATGCTTTTAACTTTGTTACTGTGCTTTGCTTCATTATTGTGGCTTTTTAAATATTATTTTTGCATAAAGGTAAACACTTATGAGTTTATGATTTGAGTTTACGGACACTATATAAGTTTATGTAAACTCTCGAGTTTGACAACCTTGATATACACCCAGATTATTGAACGCCAAAATCCTGACCTTCCTATAACAAGAGTAGCCAATGCAGTGGTGCCAGATACAAGTTGAGCATCCAGAGAGCAAGCTTCTGCAAAGGCATTGTCTGTCTGCATAAATGCTGAAGCAACTATCCTTTCAATATCTTTCGGGAAATCTCCATCCTCAAGAATGAACTTTGGCAAATGACGGCAAGCAAAGTCAGCAGCATGCTTTCCACCATGTCCATCAAAGACCTAAACAAGTCATTGGCCATATAATGTTATCTGACTTTCACAAATAGTTACAAACAAATGCAAGAAACAAACACAAACTAATTGATTCTTGTAAGCTGGTAAAACTCCCAAGACCAGCTTGAGCAGCATTGAGTCTAAAACGTGTTTACATGCATTGATCTATGACATAGGTAAGGCAAGACATTATTACGAGAAAAGATTAGCATGTGAAATAAAGATTTGCAAGGAACTTCCAAAAACAGACGTGATAAGATGTGTGGAACACAAGAGTGAAAGAAGACAAAGAAAGAAAAGAAAAGCACATGCAGATGACAATGAATAAAAAGACAAAAAATATATAATTCATTAATAAAACAATTAGTACTCCAATCAATTTTAAGCGCCAAGCGCAGAGATATACCCCATAAAAAGCACTGGGTCCATCTACATTGTTCTTGAGTCCATAATCCTGCATAAAATTGTCAACACAAACATATGCATCTTCCATAGTTGACCGGAATCCAATATCAGCGCATGCTCCAGAGCGAAGCATTGGAAAGAAATCAGAGTGACAATCTTCAGTAACATGTCCTGGTTCGACAGATACATCTGACAAGTTCGTTTTCAACTGCCAATTTTGCAATAAAAAAAAATTCAGAAAACACATTAAAAAAATGAAAACTTTAAGATAAACTATTTCAGTGCAGAAAGAAACGTGAACACCACAAACAGCCCTAATGATAGCAGTCATTAATAACCATTAACCAGTGAAAAGGCCGTAAACTATATCAATATTAAAACCACCAATTAGAATGAGATGAACAAATAAGGAAGAGCCCCAGCAGGTTAGCACACTTGGTTTGAGGATTCCTACTACTGAAAACAAAAGTAAGGGCATTAGTCCCTGAAAAGGGACAAAGAGCAACCTCATTCACACGTGTTGTTATCTACTCTTCTACCTCCACGATCTAACCAGACCAACCCACCATCGTTGTTTTACATTGCTTCTTCACAACAAAATCTCCATATATCCTAATCATAGGTTTTATTTACTAAAAAAGAAAAGAAATACACCCCATAAGCTAACCATACTTGTACATAATACTCAACCATTTAACTTTCCAAAAACTCTCACTGCATCAAAATGACAAACGGTAATGTAAAGAAAAAGGAACGGTGTTAAAAATAGACAAATATAGATATCAGAATCGAACCTAATAACCCCTGTAACTGTTCAACTGCAAAAGCAGAAATTATTCTAATTCGGTCTAAAAAGATATGCACACATCCACACCATTAGCATAAAACATACGCATATTCATTAAAAATTAAAAATATTTTTGTGGAAAAAAAAAACTTACAAGAGAAGCGTGGCGAACAAGGGATTTCTTGCAAGGTAACACCGCAGGGTTTGGATTGGGAGGTCGACTCTCACTATAGCTCCTACTTTCATTTTCACTTTCACTACAACAATTCACCCTTTCAATTTCTTCCATTCTTCAAACCATAAGATCCCAGTAACTTCAAATCGAAATGAGTTCGACCCAGATTGCAAAAAGCTATTGGGTAGCTATCACGAGTGGAAAAATTAGGTCTTTTGGAGTTAGGCTGGATGGGTGGGTCTCTGCGATTCCAATGGAATAAACATGTATCGCAAATGCAGAGCTTCGTGAGAAGGGATTTACATGTAAAATGTTGTATAGAGAGAGAGAGAGAGAGAGAGAGAGATTCACCGTCGTATCTGAAGGCGGTGGTCGGTGGTTGGTGGGGTTTTAACTTTCCAAGTGCGGTGGCAGGTTCGTAACGACGTCGTATCTCTATGTAACGTTGCGGAAAACTTTGTGAGCTTTGTTTAACAGCTAGGGACCTTTTCTCCAGAGGTGTGTATCTTTTTCATAATAAATGTATTTTTCCTTGCCAACAGAAGATGATTCATGAGGTTTTTTTTTCTTTTTTAATATATATAATAATAATTTAAGGGATCTGAATGCAGGATGATTGATGAGTTGAATTTTCAAGTTTTAATGATTTACCAACCTCAACCAAATGATAATTAGATTTGTTCTTCGATCATGACACCCATCTTGAGTCAACGTCCTATAAAACATATAATTTACTAAAATTTATTATTTGAATCACTTAAAATTGCTATTAGATATGATATTATATATTATATTTTGTATATACACTGATACACATAGTTCAAAAATATATTTTTAAGTATGTCACCTTTAATATTTTGTTTTAATGGAAGAAGAAGAAAAAATGCATGAATAAGGATGTATTTTTATCTTATCTGTGTGTATGCCTGATTCTGCGTTCTTTAATGTTGGCTAAAATCGTACCCTGTTCATAATGCACAACCAAAGCCACTAATTATTTGCTTGAAGAAGAAAAAAAATGACTTTTAAAAATAAATATTTAAAGTATGTTTAATTTCTGTTTTTAAAACAGTATTTTATTTTTAAAAATTAATTTTAATATAGACTTGTATTATAATTATTTTTTAAAACAGAAAGCTGTTTTAAAAACAGAAATCAAACATATCTTTAAACTTATTTATTCTTTTTAATAAAAGGAATTAAAAATATTTAAACTTTTTTCTACTTTATCAAGTATCTCATTTAAATAGTTAATAAATTTATTTATTTTATTTTATGAGGAAATTAAAAAAATTATATTAATATTTTATTTTATAACGACTTTTCAACAAACTTATTCAAACTATATCATATTAAATTGCACGGCGTTTATTTGTTTAAAGTATTATAATATCATTCTATCATCTACAATTTGTTTTAAACATATCAATTTATTGAACATTAAAAAAGTTCTTAAATGATTCAAAATATATTTTTTAAAACAAATACACTTTTTGAAAGAAAAAAAAAACTAAACTGAATTTATTTATTAAATAAACCTAATTAAATATTAGTTTACTCTAAGCTTGACATTAAACTAAAACATTTTTGTTTTAGTTTAAATATGTTTTAATAATTATTTTTTATATTTTTTAACAAAGTTTTTTATTTTTATATTTTTTGTAATTTTTATTGTATTGTTGACATGATTTATTAAAAATTGGTATTCATTTGAACTACGTCAATTAAAAGAGACTAAAAATAAAAATTATTAAAACATAAAAATTTAAAATTTGAAGCATTATACCTTTATGGTAGTTAAGGGTTTTTCAATGAAGTGATTGACTTATATATTTTCCTTATTACGTGTCCTTCTTAGGTTGCTTTTAAAAAAGATCTTGGACAAAAGAAATATCAAAAGGTGAATGAATGATTAATAATATTTTGTTTTACATTTGAAATTGAAGAATGATTGAGAAGCATTCACCAAATGATGATGGTTAGATGTTCCCTAGTCACGTCTTCACCTTTGGTCATATCAACATCATCCACATATACTAATTATCAACATTCTAATTTACCATTACCAATAAGGGATAGCACTTAATTAACGATTATAATTTGCATGCAAATTTCAAATTATTTTAGCATTACCCATAACCAATCATCAAAATTCATATTTTAGTTGAGGGATTTTGTTAATTGTCATGTGATTAAAATTAATTTGTGAATGAATTGGTAGCTACCTATAACTAAGCAATCAAAACCTTTTTATGCCGACAAAATCGGTAGCTCCGTTGGATATTAGAAGTGCGTTGCAAGCATACTAATTTTGGAAAATATCACTTTTTTTAATTTACTCTAAACAAAATAAAAAGATTTTATATGCTCTTTTATACATAGAACGATCATAATAATTATTGATTTTAATAGTAGAATTAGCAATATATTTAAAATATATATAAATATTTTTTAATATTTTGGTATAATCTTAAAAAAAAATTTTAATACATCTTAAATTTAGAAGTACTATATCAAATACTTTTTTTTTTAGCAATTACCCATTTTCTTCAATAAATGAATTTAGCCAAGTTGTCGTTACAAAAAGTATTTTAAGTTAAGCTTAACTTTTTGTCTCACTATCTCACACGAAGCTTTTTATTTTGTTTTATGAAATTGTTTTCAATGTTCATTTTTGAAATATTAAATATGGAAAAAAAAAATGTTTGATGAAAATTGCGATGGGAAAACAAAAGAGCGAAAACGAAAACGAAAACGAAAACGAAGTCGTGATGCTAATGTAACGTAATACACTTTCTTTGGATTTTTCTTAATATTATTCATTTTTAAAAAAGGGGACAATTTTGACCCACAAAAATTCATTCAACTTTTCTTTCGGATGTCAATTTTCTGTGTTTCGTAAGTGAATATATTATTTGTTTAATCTATTACGAAATGGAACCAATATTACGTAATTGAAATGCCAAGATTCAAAAGCAAAAAAAATATTTAACATAATGAATATATTTATATTTTAAAATTTATAAATATTATTAAATTAAAAATAACATATAATATATATATTTTTTTTGGGTAGAAAATGATATCTACTTAATCTCTTTTAAATAAAATCTTGAATGTGAGTTTTGTACAAATATAAAAAATGAGTTGCGAGATGTTATGAATAATTGCATTGTGGAATGTGAAACAAGTGCGATGATTAAGGTAAGGAGATCCAAAGTTTCATCCAACAAAGTGGGTTAAGGTAGACGCTGAGACTGTGACTGCTATGTCCTCTACTCCGCAAAGCGAAATTGCTGCAAAGACGGCAAGTAATAGGAAGCACCATCAACAACAAAACAAGCTAAACTCAACCAATTCAAGTAAACAAAGATGGCTTCTTTTTCGCCATTAAACTCTAACCCACGTATCAAATTTCAACAACTACCACCCCAAACCATCCTTTTCACTATTCCCTCCTATTTACTTTACACACGCACACTAGATTTTTCAAGGCTACTTTTCTTGTTCCTATATCTACTATTATTTATATTCCTTCCTTTTACTTCAAGTTTAAACTTTATGTATAGTACCATATGTTATGTTATAATACATAAAAAAGTTAAGAGAGTGATCGAGGGAAGAAGAGTCTCAACTCTCAACCATGAGAACTAGCTGCTACCTAAGTTTCCCCCCTTCTACTTCAAACGCTTCTCTCGTCCCCACAAAGCCACCTCAAGTTTCACTGTAAGTTTTTAAGTGCTGCTCTTAATTGATCTAATCTTTTGGGTTGTAGCTTATATACATATATGGCATGTCACTCATGTCACTCATAAAATTTTACTAACACAACCAATTAATGGCATGTTTTGTAAAGGGTGAAAAACGAAAGATGTTGGAGAAGGCAATGCGTAGTGGTGATGGGAGTGGCATCGTGTTGCACCATAATTGGACTAGAAATGTGCAATTCAGTGGCACTGCCTCATGAAGCCGTTGTTTCGGAGGAGAGTGTGACGGTGTTAATTGTCGAAGAGGTATCAAATAATTCATCACTTTCCAACGTTGGTGCCAAATGGAGTGAGAAAAGAACGTGCCCACCTTGGCGTGGCAACTCGCTTGAAACCATCGTGCCGGAGAATCTTCCACGGCCATCCGCACGGCGGAGATATGAGTCCGTTCGTTCCACTTCCAAGACTGCGCCGCCGCTTTCAGCACCCATCAAACTTCAAAGCAACAAGGGCAACTGCTTCTCTATGTGAAAATGCAATTAATTATTTGCTTGTATATAATAATTATTCTTGTTATTATAATTAGTTTCTAATCATATTCAATTGTTATGTTTTTATTTGTTTTCAACAATAAAATTATCTAACAAATGATTCTATCATCTATGTATCTATGTTGTGATAACAATACTCGATTGGATTTATTCTGGTTAGGGATTGTGTAGTACATGCAGTACAAAATTTTAGTTCTTTCCCCTCTTAAAACCATACATAACTATTGTACTATACTACTTTCTTATTTTTAGTTGTTTGTTTTCCTAAGCTTACACAAGTTTATTGGGCCTAGCCCATGATATCTTCAGTGTATATATTGGGTTCTATACCGCATATATTGGGCTGGTCCATTAGACCGTCTCCTTAACTTAAAAAAAAATAAAATCTGAGGCCTTTTGAGAATAGAATATGTGTGAGAATAGCGTAAGCTAAGTCACTTAAGAGAGAGACATCCTGAAAAAAAAAATAATAGAGATAGAATTTTAGAGAGGGCCTCTAAAATACTATTTTGCAAACATTTTTACGTTTTTTAGATAACTCTATCAAATCTCCAAATACTATACATACAATGCAGTTTTATTATAAGGTGGATAGTTAAATGCAAAAAAAAAAAAAAACTGCAAACTCAGTTAAAATAGTTTTTGTTCATTAAAATTTGATTAGATATAGGTGAGATCAAATTTAATTGCCATGTTTAGCTATAACAATGACTTTATATTTGATTAATTAATTAAGATAACTTTTGCTTGAGTAGTGACTTCAATAACAAAAGATACCAAAATAATTTTAAAAACACCAATCTCGGATCTTTTTTGGGTGAAAGTTTTGGGCTCAAACTTTCAAATCCCAGATGGGCCTGGGCTCATAATTTCATATTTCATAAAGTCCATAATCAATTGAAAAGTTCAGTCCTTCTAATTGGACGCAACAAAATCCTCGTATCTGAGTGAGTTTGTAAGTAGAAACCTAGTCGTGTAACTATTTGTCAACTATATCCACTAAAAAGTTGTCAAATAGTCAATAAAATGAGTCCATCCAATTAAGTTAATCTGAACTTATAATTTAAATATTGAGTCAAATTAAATCTAACTTTTTAAAAGCTGATACAAGCCAAGCCTATACAAAAATCAAATTTTATCCATTTTATGCATCATTTTACGAGTTCAAATTAAATTCAAACTTTTTACAGTAGCATGTGATAAAGTCCATAATTATTTTACTAGTCTGATTGTCAAACATTAATTATAATGAGTTATATGTAATGATAAAAGTAACTGCATATGAAGTTAATACAATGAGTTATATGTAACTTAGAAAATTTTTATCAAATTAATAATGAATTACTTTCAGTAAAATAATCTAGCTAATTTCTTCTACAAATTAATCATGCTAACTACGCTGGTAACAACTGAACTCTTCAAGCTGGGAAAATAGTCCAAACAAAATTAGAAAAAATATACTTTATTTGCACAAGTACAATTATATTAAAAAGTTATTTATTTAAAGGTAAATGCTAACTTGTTAGTATTTTTAGGACACTGATTAAGAAATAGAAAGCATAATCTTTTTGTTATAATATGCTATTAATATACTTCTCCTATAATTTCCATTTAAATCCTACGTAATATTAAATGATTTCTTCTTATTTTCTTAAATAATAACTTGAAGGCTTAGCAAGACACTTACTGAACACACTGCATGCAGAAGTACTGCTGTGTAGAGTCAACTAAGTGATTGAACCACTTATTTTATTAAGAAAAATGTGCTTTTGATTTGGAAAATGATAGAATCTGAAAAAGTAGATTATATGTTGTGCCTATTATGGCAACGGGACGAAGGTTTCACTCCAAAAATTAATTAAGACATTTAACCGATGGTTACCATTAAATTCAATGACTGTTTCTCTAGACTAGTGTATGACTGTGTTATAGATTAGATAGAATGACAGGTATGGTTGGGTTAGACTTGGGACAGAAACTAGGCAATGTGTAGGTCATAGGTTTTGTTTGTATCCTTTTCTAGTCAAATCTATGATGCCCACAATTTATCTCGAATCTCACTCTGTTTTCCATAGATTTGGACAATCCTGATGCTTGTGGCCCCATTAAGTGCCTTTGCTTCTTTTTTACTTGCACTGCCGCAAAATGTTTCTTCCTCTTAACTAAGTGCAATTTTTTTTTTAATGTGGACACAATACACATTATACTATACTAATAAATGATATATTTTTATTAAAAATTGCAGCATTTTATCTTAATAATTTATCTTTTATAATGTCTAATAATCTTATCATAAAAAAAATTAGTATATGTTTTTAAACTTTGAATTTAACCTAAACTTTAAAGTTAGTTTGTAAAGTAAAAATTATCTTACTTTTTATAATTTTATTTTAGCTATGTTTATAATTAATACAAAAATTTAACATAATTTTTATGTTCAAATTTGAATATTTGGGGTGTAAAAACTTTATAACTAACTTTTTATATATATTACACTTAAAAAGTTGTAAAAGTCATGCAGCTTAGAGCTTACGTTGAAAAATTCATCCAATTAATTACACTACAAAACCTTCTGGGGCTATTATATTTTTTTCTAATTAAGAGTGACTTAAAATTATAGGTTTCAATATTATTTTAAATTTAAATCTAAGTCTAATTCGATTCCAAAAATTAATTTATAAAATAAAAAATATTGCGTTCACAGTAACTTTGACTGACCGGAGGCTTCAACATGAGCTTATACTGACAAAAACTTTCTTAGGTTCTTAAAGTCGCGGATTGAAAAAATATATATTAAAAGAATTGAATTTTAATAAAACAATGATAGAACAAAAAATTAAAAAACTGTACATAATTTTTCTTCATAGAATATTTAGCATTTTAAGTAATATCTCATCGTATTGTGTATAATCTTTGCTAAGTTGTAAGACTTAATATTTTTTTTGTTACAAACAAGTTTATATTAAGAAAAACCTCATCTCATTTAAGTTCTCAATATTACAGTTTTAATAAAATAATAATAAATAAATAAATAACACATCCCCCAACTGGACTTATAAATATTAAATCAATTTAAGAGTAAATTTTAAATTTTTAAAATAATTTTGTCTTAAAAATTGATTATATCAATATAGAAGTATAATGAACATTTTTTTTTATAAAAATCATTTTTTCAAATAATTAAAATAAATTTGAAGGTTTGATATTATCAAAAAACAATATTAAAACCCGCCAACAAAAATGGTTGACCTCAAGCATTCAAGAACTTCTAGGAAAGTTTATAGGCATTCCCATATTTTCACAAAATCATAATATATGATTTACGAGTACACTGAAGAAACATGGGGTTTAGTAGCTAGGATTGTTGATTTAACGTGTTATATTTTATACAAAAATAAGGCTGTAATGTATAATTTGGCCCCTACATTGCATGGGGCCAAACACGTTATGAAGCAAACACGTAAACTGCCTCCAAATAAGAGAATGATATAAATCATGTGATGACAGCCTTTCAATTTCTAAAAGGTAAGAGTCTTCCATGAAGACGAAAGTAGTGTAGTGCAGTGCACACTGGAATGCATGGATTTTTTTTAATTAATTATTTGAAAATTCAAATTTGATGATCATACTGTATCCCTTTTTAAAATGACGAATTTAGTGAGAAAAAACGAGGGAAATATATTTTAGTATTATGTTCTATTCCTATGATGACTGTTTATTTAGTTTGAAAAAACTATCCAATATTTGATTGAGTCAAATAAAACACTTTAAATTAATATAATCGTTATTTTCCTCTCCGATAGCCCCGTCTTTGCTCTGCTGACAACATTGTTTTCCTCTTCTTTACCCGACAAATGATTGTTTTTCCATGTTGTTGCTTAAATGTGTCTTTTGTTTCTTTCTAATTAATCTTTCGTAAAGAATAATAACCATTTAACTTGAAACATGGTTTTTGTGATGAGACTTTCATGTTACGCAACAAATCAATATTCAGCACATCACCTGTCCACTTCGTCTATGTTATACATTAGAGTCCTAACTCTTTAATAATCAAGTTTCTTGCTTATTCACTTTTTTGGGCAACAACCCATCTTGTTTTCATCTTTCCCGCCATATAAGACAATTTGAATCACACTTTTTAAAGTCCTAACTTTCCTTTTAGTTTATTTTAATTTAAAAAATTCTTTTAAAAGCAAATGACTATTTCTATAGAATAAACTTAACTAAATATTTATTTCTTTTTATTCTCTCTTTAGCTAAATGATAAAATAACCAAAAAACTTTTGAAAGTTTCTTACTTCGTTTTTGTCACCATCCAAACAACACAATAAAAAGAGCAAAATTATCAATGATTGATAGATGCACATGCATGATTGAATATACAGCAATAGCATGGCAAATCAAACTGGTAAAAGAACCAAGAATCAGTAGCTTTTGTTTTGGTTTACAACAAGAATCAGTAGCTAGCTAGCTGCTGAGATAGTGCGTAGTACGTACCTACTGAGTGGGAAACAAATTATTTTGTATAGTGGAATTAAAATTTGGAAAGAGGGTTAACGAAGATGTCGTCGCAATGAAAGTTGCCATGCCACAAATAGCACGGAAAAACTATTCAAAAGAATTTATATATTGAACTCGGGAGTATATTCCTCTTCATCCCTTATAGATCCCTTTATGCAACATAACATGGACAAGATATGTATCAATATCCATCATCATATATGGTAAAGAGAGCCTCAGGGTCCCCAGCTCATGAAGTCATTAATTAATTACATGTCAAAGGTGAAGATTAGGATCACTAAAGTGAATAAATACATTAAATAAATACGTAAAATTTTATTTATTTTCAACTTAAATTAAAATCTTATAAATATGATTAACTTGAAATAGATAAACATCTACCTCCTCACTTTTAAAAAAATATATCCTCGAAAATTAAGGAGAACTGTGAAATCTTTCTATAGGTACTTTATTTATTTT